AATAAAGGAGGTGGAAAAGGTGGGATTAAGGGCGGGGAATAAAGGAAGAGGGTGTATGTGAGAACTTCTGCAGGAGAGTCGAAGAGATAGGAGATCTCAGGGCTGATTTGGGAGGCCCACTCTTGGGGTCCTTTGAGGACTACCAACAGATATTCAGTCAACATCTTTTCCCCTCCTTTTTTTATTTTTTATTTTTTTTTAATTATTCCCACAGATGCATACTTCAGTCAGGTTTTTTTGAAACCTGAACTTTCAATGCCAGCATGAGTAATTGTGTATAAAGTGGGTCACAAGGAAGTGATAACGAATGCACAGACTATTTTAACTGCTGAATCAGAAATCTCTGTGCTATATTATGAAATATGCAGGAAGGAAAATAAGCAGATGATAGGAGTGGAAGGAATCCTAAAATAATATTTTCACAAACAAATTCTGGCCCAGCATCTGCCTGGAGGGTAGGGGGTAAGAGAGCTCTGATGATACGCACTCCTGAGAGTTAAAGAATTGGAATAAAATTGCAGAACTGGAAATCTTTCCAAATGACGTAAGACCTTCTGAGGCACGTGACCACTCAAGCCCACAACTTGAAAGGCTTTGGCAATGTTGTAGGGACATCTCAGTCTGCTTCGTAGCATCGGCCGGCAGGGCTTAGAGAAGGCAAAGACAAACAAAACAAAACCCGCAAAAATTTAAAGTCTGTTCTATTTGCTCTTCCTAAAACAAACCAACCCCACCTTTTTTGATTTAATCTGTTTCGTCGGTTTTTTTTCATTTGGTAAAATATACAAAACATAAAAATTACCATTAGGGTGCCTGGGTGGCTCAGTTGGTTGAGCGACTGCCTTCGGCTCAGGTCATGATCCTGGAGTCCCTGGATGGAGTCCCACATCGGGCTCCCTGCTCGGTGGGGAGCCTGCTTCTGCCTCTGACCCTCCCCCCTCTCATGTGCTCTGTCTCATTCTCTCTCTCTCAAATAAATAAATAAAATCTTTAAAAAAAAATTACCATTATAACCATGTTTAAATGTTCAATTCAGTGGCATTAATTACAATTACATTCACAATGTTGTGCAACCATCACCACTATCTATTTCCAGAACTTTTTCATCATCCCAAACAGAAACTGTGTACCCAATAAACAGTAACTTTCCATCCCCCATCCTCCCAGTCCATGGCAACCGTCATTCTACTTTCCGTCTCTATGAATTTGCCTGCTCTAGGTAAGACCTGTATAAATGCAGTAATACAATATTTATTTCTTTAGACAAAAATAATGCAATATTTGTTGTATTTCACTTAGCACAATGTTTTCAAGGTTCATTCATGTTGTGGGGTGCATCCGAATTTCCTTCCTCTTTATGGCTGAATGGTATTCTAGCGTATGTACAACATTTGGCCTATCCCTTCACATACTGATGGGTAGTTGGGTTGTTTCCACCTTTGGCTACTGTGAATAATGCTGCTATGAACAGTGGGGGTACAGGCATCTTGTTCAGCCCTTCTTTTCAATTCTTTGAGTATCTGCCTGGGAGTGGAGTTGCTGAATCCTATGGTGATTCTATGTCTAACTTCTGAGGATCCACAAGCTGTTTTCCATCAGGCTGCACCATTTTCCTGTCCCATCAGCAGCACACAACGGTGCCAGTTTCTCTCCATCCTCACCAACACTTGCTATTCTTAAAAAACAAACAAACAAACAAACAAACAAAAATAGATGCTAATGGGTGTAAAATGGTATTTCATTGTGGTTTTGACAAATTTTTAAACAGAAATTGTACCAAAGACACACATTATAGGTAATTTCACGTAGTTTAGGTTTTAAAGGCAAACTGTGAATCATAAAATGTATCAAAAATAATACTAAATAATTACTGTTTGTAATTCATCTTATTGGGCACAGTCTCTTTTTGTTTATCCTATTTTGGTAAATTTCTAAATTGCCCTCCTATATTTTCAACTTGTATATTAGTTAATTTTTATTCTTGGTACAAGTTTCAAATTTTATCCAATCTTTCAAAAATAATTTTTGTAGATGACATCAGGTATTTTAATGTCTGATGACAATTATTATCGTTTCTGGTATCTTATTAAACCAACCTTTGAGCTTGAGTTGATTCTTTTAATTCCATTGTTATGCAGCATTTTGTAGTCATTAGGGACAAAGATAAGACGTTGTTTCTTTGAAGCTGAGCTGTGGTATTTTCTCAAAACACTTATTATAGTCACATGATTGATCCAATGTGTTGAAATACGTGTTAAATCTTAATTTTCTCTGGGCCAACACATTTGACAAAGAGAGCATTCGTGAACACTTGGTCAAGAAATACTTGAGGGCCTAGTATGAGCCAGCTGTGGTACTGGGTGCTGGATACACACAGGCGACAAGACAGACCTTGTGGCATGTGATAGAAGCTTGAAGAAAGAGTCCTATTGTTTTTATTGCCTTCTTGACTAATAACTTAAGGGATAACCTGTAAAAGTTTTGGGATAAATTTGTCCCAGGACCAAACTGTACTTATTAGATTGATTTTATACATGGCTTCCCTAAAAGGATTTGAGTTAGCTTTTAAGAGATAACATATAATAATGTTAATATGCAAAGAGGTAGAATCAAGACCAAGAAAAAAGGAAGGTAGTAACATGCTAGAGCCCTTAGGTGCACATGCTGGACACAACTGCCATTATGTAATTACTATGTTACTACGTTCGACACAAGCTCTAGGGATGTGCTTGCATGGGGAAAGAAAATTAACATTGACTTGAACAAGTAGAGCTCATGTATCTCATATTAACAAAAAGTCTGAAATTATGCAACCCAGGGCTAGCACAGTAACTATCAGGGACCCAGTTTCTTTGTCTTTCTGCTCTGCCTTATTTATTTATTTACTTATTTATTTTAGATTTTATTTATTTATTTAGAGAGCGCAAACACGAGCAGGGGCAGAGGAAGAGGGAGAAGAAGACTCCCCGCCAAGTGGGGAGGGCAATGCAGGGCTTGATCCCAGGACCCCGAGGTAATGACCTGAGCTGAAGGTAGACGCTTAACTGACTGAGCCACCCAGGTGCCCCATCTGCTCTGCCATCTTTAGATGTACACCTTTGTCTTCATGCTTCATGACCATATGATCCCAAAATGGTTGCTGCACCTCGAGGCAGGAAAAAAGGAGAAGGGCAAAGGGGCCAAGAGCTTTTTCCTATCTTCATCTGGAAATCCAGATAGACCCTCAGGAATACTTACACACACAGTGGGTTGCCTTACAGAAGAGGAACACTGCGCTTAGGGACCCCAAATCTTACAGAATAACAGGAGGCAGGCCTGTCCTTTGCTCTGGAGTGAAGCATTATTTCTGTCTTCCCAGGTTCCAAGCAAGCCTTCCCGTTACTCTGGAGAGACAGTATGTCTATTTTCCAAGGTTGTATGCCTTTCAAAGATGCTTGAGAAGATAGTCTGAAACAAAAGAGAGTCAGGGCCCACTGCTTGAAAGATATGCAGAAATGTGAGACCATGGAGAATTGTCTCCCAACCATACCCTCCTCGGGACATCTGCCTGTATATTACTGGCTGGAACTATATCATATGGCCACCTCCACCTGCAAGGGAGGCTATGAAATTGAGTATTTGGGGTTGGGCACATTGCTGCTCTAAATAAAATTGTGGTTTTATTAGTAAGAAAAGGCAGGCGAGGGGTGGAGCTTCACAAGAGCAAGGCAAAAACTGTGCCCAGGTGTTTTTATCTGCCTGGCCAATGTCTTTTCCCCATTGCTTAACAGATCTTATGACACTGTATTTACTGATCCTGCCAGAAATAATTTATAAAACCAAGACATAAGAAAACTTCCAGTCAACCACCATTTTACAAATCTCAAATAAGCTATTGGTAGTTTAATGCAGAATTTTAATGTCACAATTGTGTAATATTAGATCTAAGTGTACAAGCCCATAATTCCTTAGAATTCTTCCCATTAAAAAAAAAATCTGTATTTTTTTATTTTGACAAGCCATTTTGTGGAGGGTGAGAGTAAAAGTTCGTTTAATTTAAGAAAATGTTTATGTCATGAAATTTCCCCCAATCTTTGAGTGTCTCTTGCTTAAAGAACACATTCTACTTTGTGAACGGATAGGTGTTTGGTAAGAGGTTTATAAATATACTTTTTCTGGTTTCATTTATTTTAAGAGGATATTTTCACCTCATGACAGTCATTTGGGGCTGACAATGTTACCATGGTAACCATGCTCCAAAATGCTGGTTGCCAGTGAAATTGATCCTTAGCACCTCAGCACCTTTCACGACAGTGCTCACTCCCTTAGGGAAGGAGGCTTTGCTCAGAGCACATTTAGGTCAAGGAGTCCACAGTCCTGGTGGTGGTTAGGTACCATCACAGAAATCTATTGGATTTTTCTCCCAGGAACCAGTCTAAGGATTCCAGGGAGAATCCAGGTCTGCTCCACATCACTGTGGCTTGTATTTTCACTGTAACAGATAGAGGCGAAACTTCTTTGTTTCCTCTTCAGCTGCATTGTTCAAGTTCAGAACCCCGGTCAATGCACAGGAGGCATGGAGGGAACATTTCGAATGTGAATGGACATGTCTTCCCCAGAGGCAAAGAAGTTTGTAAACTACTTTTCAAAGCTCGTACTATATGATTTTGAAATAGAAATGCTTCTCCCCTGAAAGGAAGGGTGATGTTTTAATCTGGGGCAGTGCACTGGGGCCTTAAAGATTGAGCCCAAATCAGAGTCCAGGGGTATCGTGGAGGTAATGGATCTCAGGGCTATGGGAGGACAATCGCAGATGGAGTTTGCCCTTTCTCTCCATAAATAGGGGGCCGCCCCTCCCTTCAGCAAGGTTTCGTGCATGAGAAAGGGGAGGCTTGTTAGAAAGAGCAGCTTTGAAACTTAATTCTCTTTGCCAAGAACTAATGGACTGTCTTCAACGTGCATGAAAATATGTCCAGCACGGTGACCAGAGAAGCCAAAATGAGGCCTCCACAGACCTAATTTGGCATCAGTTTATCTCCACGTGAGAAGATCTGGATGCGCTTATTTTACTCTCTGCTGTAACTAAGAAAAAAACAAACAGAAACCCTGCAAAGGTTCACTGAGACAGCAGTCAGTCACGAAAAAGGAATTTGAACCAAGATAACGTTAGTTACATTTTACCCACACGTTCCCGAAGCCTGAGCACTACCAGTTGAGCAAACGCGATTTGGCCCTTCGTCGTGACATTAAAACTTCACCAAGTCAGCAGTGACTTTGTGTAACGCAAAGAAGCCTCGCACACAGACGCATGCACGCACGCAGACCTCTTTTGATACCTCAGGGACACTGAGAACTAAGGGATTCCGAGGCCAGGTGAGACATTTCACTTTCTGACCGTCTTTGTTCTGTGTTTGGAGAAAGGCCAACGTGTGCCTCATTGAAGTGGAAATCCAGGGAGAAAACGTAACGGAAGAAGTTCCCCTATTTCTCGTAGCAATAGCTAGCCTTCATGGAGCTCTGACGAGGAGCCAGGGAATGTTCTTCGAGAGGATTTCGCTGACTGCTCATTAACAGTCCTATCAGGTCAATGTGAGGATAATATCCATTCTACAGTTGCGGCAGCCGAGGCACAGAGAAGTGACTTACCCAACATCACACATTATAAAATTATAGACCCCCCAGCTTCCGGGCTCAGGGTCCTCTAAGCAAGACGCTACAGCGGGGAGGAGAGAGGCGATCAGGCGGTGATATACTGGAGGGGAAAACAGAGGGAGGCTCTTCAAGTCAAGGCAAGCACAGTGTCTCCGAGGACAGTGCAGTTTCTCCTCAGTGAGGTATGGGTCAAGCTCCCCAGCCTCAGAGGCCTGTCCAGGGTTCCTCGGCGGCCAGGGTCACCTTGCTCAACTGCCTGTAGGTAGGAGTGCTGCAGCCCTGGAAGGAAGCCCGGGCTGTAGGGCTGCCAGGCCCCACTGGTCTTCTACCCAAAGACAGAGGAGAATGTCTTTCCTGGGTAAACTCTCCTGCCAGTGACCTTCCTGAGGTAAGTCTTGTCTGTTTCCGTGTCTGCCCTCCTTAGCGTATCTCCTCTGACTCCAAAAACACGTCCCCTGACAGCCCACCAGTTCCCCTGATGTGCTTGGGTACCGGAGACTGTGTGCTCCTGGGGGTGGGGGGAGGAGCTGGTAGAGTCATTCCCACTCTTTGTTTTTCTGCAGTGATCCTGTCCTTACTGACAGTGCGGGACGCCCAGGACTGGCTGGCTTATCAGCAAAATGCACCTCTTTTTAAATTAAGCTGCCTGTTTTCCCTGAAGAGTAAAGCTCTGTCTAATCCAAATAATATAGGGGAAATGTCTGTAACTGTGATGTCACTGTCTGTGGTTGGAAATTAAAAAGCAGAGAGGACATATGCCGACATCTGCCTCTGGGATTTCTTTACCTGTCTCTCAATACAGTAGCAGAGCCTCTGAGACCTCAGACCATTCACCGTTATCTTTGGTCGTCAAGAGGACAAACACCTCTAGCCCTAAAGCATGCATTATCACAATCATTGGGTTTAAAAATATATAGATAGTTTCAATAAAAGGGATGACTAGATTAAAAAAAATAAGAAAGTTTCTTAACTAAAGATTTATTTATTTGAGAGAGAGAGCTTGCGTGCGTGAGCAGGGGGACAGGCAGGCAAAGGGAGAGGGAGAGAAGCAGACTCCCTGCTGAGCGCGGAGCCTGACCTGGGGCTCAACCCGGGGGCTGGACCCCATGACTCTGAGATCATGACCTGAGCTGAAATCAAGAGTGAGGCAGTCAACTGACTGAGCCACCCAGGTGCCCAGTTAACAAACTTTCTCAATCCAAAGTCAAGCCTTCTTGGTTAAACCTACAATATAATAGACTTTTTTTTTTTTCAACAGGAAGATTCCTTTATAATGGTGAATTTAATAACACACAGGGCTAGAGTACAGCCTCAGTCACTCACTGGTCCACAGCAGGCAGGAAGGGAGCAGTGAGAAGAACCAACACATTCCAGGACTCATGTCACACTGACCCCCGCAGGACTGCCACGTACCTCCCTGAAGCTCCACCCACCTGCTAGTGCAGCCAAGAACTATGTCGCTTTTAATTTGTCATTTTCGCGCATTGAAGATAAAATCCCCATGGTGACAGGATTTCAGCACAACAGTCTGTTGAAATATTTGTATATACTTAAAAAAAAAAAAAAAGACAACTAACAGTCCATTCTGTGCTCTGCTTCCCTGGAGGATTTCTCATGATCTGGGAACCAAGAATTAACACACTTCAAAAGAAGCAATAAAAATTCTAGCGCCGTACTCAGAAGCAGATGGTGCGCTTGCCAAGGTTGGAGGGGGGAGCGGAGCAGGTGCTCTGCTTGGGGGCAGGGTGCGGCCTTTGGGACAGCTGAGTGGACACGCAGACAGAAGCATCCACAAGCAGGACACACTGCCAGGGAGGGCCTGTTTCCTTCCGTGCTCTCCCCAGGTACGGGGGCATCACGTCACCCGCATGATGACTTCTCAGGACTGAGGACCCTATCCCTCACTCTCCATCCACTCTAGTGGGGGGTCTCTGACTGAAATGGGCTGAGGCCAGGAGTTGGGATCTAACTCTGTGCCACCCCGGTAGATTTGCTTCAGGCTATTCCAAGCAGGAAGGGCCTGGGACGCTCACCTCCCCAAGGAGCTGTGAGGCATGAGGGAGAAGGCAAGGGGAGGAGAGGCTTAGAAGGCAGACGTGACTAGAACCAGTGGCTCTGGACCTGGCTCAGCTTTGTGGGTCAGTCCTGCTGCTGCTGCCACCTTATCCTTGTGCTGGGGACAGACTATGAGAAGCCTTCACAGCCGGTAGCTTCTGTACGTGATACCGTACGTGATATACATACATATATATTATTTTTACTGAAATAAATGCAACAGATTCAAGTTCATTCCCCTTTGCTAGAACTGTTCCCTTCCCTGCCCTGAGAACTTCATGCCTTCGAGCCTGCCACCAGGCACTCCCTGGCTTGTCATCTGCCCCCCCCGCCACCATGGGAAAGGGGCCCCAGGATGAGCGGAGGACACATGGCACAAGAGGTGACTGGAAGGAGGGCCTACCTCGACGAGATTTCTAACTAACTCTGAGAACCTAAGGAATTGTGAAGGACTCAAAGAGGGAGCTGAGGTTCAAGGTCACTGGGCTTTTTGTTGTTGTTGTTAAAGATTTTGTTTATTTATTTGAGAGAGACAGAGTGAGAGAGAGAGCACAAGCAGGGGGAGCGGCAGGCAGAGAGAGAAGCAGACTCCCCGCTGAGCAGGGAGCCCAACTCGGGGCTCTATGCCAGGTCCCTGGGATCATGACCTGAGCTGAAGGCAGACGCTTAACTGACTGAGCCACCCAGGCACCCTAAGGTCACTGGGTTTTATCTGCAGTTGAATCAGACTCAGACAGTCTGGTCTTAGTCTCCAGAAGGGACAGCCTGGAGGTCGTGAGAGTGCTCATCACAGAAGCCCTGTCCGCAGGAAAGCTTGTTGCTGAACTCCTTCCAGCAGGAATCTCCTAATCAGCACCCAGCCATGCCAGCCCGGCCGCACCCTTCACTACACCTAGTGGTACATCAGTGGCTGTCACCGTGCATCCCCCCACCACCCTGCATTCTGCACATCCTCGCCCATCTCCCAGGGGTCCTGCCTTCACTGTCCACCTGTGCCTCAGTAACTTCTCACTGGCTTCGGAGCAGGTGGTCACACACCCGCTCAGGCACCGACTGGGTCTTGAATGAACAGCCGCCACAGAAGCCCTCCCCACGGGCCCGGCAGTGGTGCCGGGGGTCACTATCTCTGAAGGATGGAGCTTACCTGGTGCAGCTCCAGAAGGCACAGGCGAGCTGGTCCATCAGCCAGAAAGTCACAGCGCCGGTGGGCCCATGGCTAAGCTCAGACACCGACTGAGCCGTGAAGTTCATCCCGTGCAAGAGGCGCTAGGCAGTGCTGTCGTTGACCTTCAGAAATCCATCACTGCAGGCCACGTGGGCGCAGTCTCTGTCTGCACCCAGCTATCCTCAGGATCTTGGGTCCCAAACCAGGATTGCTGGCTATGATAGGCCGCATCACAGTTAGGACATTCAATCACATACCCAGACCCCAGGCACATTTTTTTGAGACCCATCCAGTGGGAGTGGGTGGAAGCCAATGTCCTGGGCACTCGGCTGGCTTCCTTGCCTTTCTCCCAACAGGCCTTGTGGGTATAAACTCAGTTGTCCTGCCGGTGGGAGTACCTGCAGCGGCCTTGACTTCATGAAGTACTCCTTTGCTAAGATTCACGCAGCGCTTACACGCAGCCCCACAGCCGAGGCCCCAGGAGGAGGGTCCAGGGTGCCGGGGAGAATGATCGCGGGCGCAAAGCCTGCCGAAGCCCGGGGGATTCCGTGGGAAGTGGTAAGTCCTCGTTCCCTTGTAGTGAATGGAACTGAAGGCTTCAGAGAAGCCACCCCGCTTCCAGAACAGGTGCTGGACGAGCTTTTCTGGCACCTCGAGGGCTGCTCAGAGCCCAGCAGATGAGTGTGCTCAGTGTCCTGGAAAATGACAACAGCAGTGCCCGGCGTGGACCAGGGGACATCCAGGCCACAGCGGGCAGGGCAGCCGTGAGCTCCTTGGGAGAGGGCTTCACATACGCTTCAGAGGCGTCCCCAAGGCACTTGAAGGGGTCATGATGCAGCCCATCTGCATGAGTTCCAAGGATGGCGAGGTCTGAGGTGTCCAGGCCCTTCAGCAGCAGCTGTGCTGTCTGGCTGGGACTCACCGTAGCCCCCGGGAGCCCCTCCACATCTGTTACTCCTGCTCTGTGGCCCAGGTTGTGCACTGCCCATACCCTCACGGTGCAGGGCTCCCGGGCAGGGGAGGTTTTGAAGGCTTCCCGGCCATAAAAGAAAGTGTGGTTGAGGTGTGAGACTTTCCATCAGCAGTATTTCTGAAAATGGAAACCACCTTCCAGGGCTGACTGGGTTTGCAGTCCAATTTCCTAATAGTCCCCTTCACTGGCCACTGGAATGTGTCTTCCTTTCTCTCCGCTTGGAGGAAACTCACAACTTTCCCAGTCATCTTCTTCCTCCTGGTCTCATCCTGCTCTTCTTCCTTCAGTAACCCCCGGACCTTAGTGATGTGGTACACAGCAAGGGGCTGTCTCCCTTTGCTACCCCCCAGGTGAGTCCTCTCTGGCACCCCGGGCACAAGTTGATTTTACAGGTCTGGCCCCTTCTGGCGCCCTCTGCCTCATACCTGGGTGCCCTCTGCCTCGCACCTGGCCCTGGTGAATGCCCCCTGGGGCCCTTGCTGGGGCGGCTAAGGGGTGCAGCCGGGCTGGAGTCCTATTGTCCCAGGGCTTCTCCCGCCAATGATGCTCCTTCTCACAGAGGAAACACTGCAGACTGCAGCACTCACCACACCAAAGGCAGCTTGGTCAGCCCCGCCGCAGGCCTAACTTTCCTGGCACCTCAGCCCCGAATTCAGGCCCTTCTCTGCTGGGGGAATCTGGGCACTCATACTCAGATCGGTAAGGAAAAATCACCGACCATACAAGCATGCCTGGGCTTTCCCCAGGAGTGACGACAAAGGCTTTGGGTCTGAAGGCTGAATGGAATTGCCACAGGGTTCTGAACACCTTAAAACAAAACAAACAAAACCCTTTGTGGTCCTATTAGAATACTCACAGATGTTCAAATTTTAAATTTTCTGCCTCCAAGATTCCTGTATCAGCAGCAATGTTGATTTGGTTTGATGCTTTCATCCTTCATAAGGGGTAGGCAAATAGTGGGTCAAAATGAACTTGAAAGGGTCTTTTATGGCTTTGAGAGATCTGATGGGTTCACTGAGGCGGGCTTATCAGCTGGGTCTCAACCACAAGTTTTTGCTAATGAAAGAGAGTGGTCAGGAGCTTTTCAATATAATCCAACTTCAAGTCAATATTTCAAGGGGCACCACAGAGCAGCTTGGCGAGGGCAGGGTGGGGTTGGGCGACAGTGGGTCACCCGTGGGGACAGAGGCTGTTCCTCGGGGCACCAGTGGACCCATCCTCATCCCCGTCTCTGCCCCCCTCCTCCTTCACTGCCTCCCGGGCTCCTCCTCCCTTATTGTCAGCTGGGATCCGCTCCTAGGTTTAGTTTTAAACCAGTGATTCAAAGCACAATTTAGCTGTTCCTCTGAAGACTTTAACTCAAAAAAAAAAAAAAATCCAATGGGGGATAATTGTTCACATCTGCCTAATGATGTTTCTATGTGAAAAAGCATAATAGAATGTAAGATTTTGAGTTACAATAGCTTTCAGTTTATAATTAAAATCAAAAGGGTAAAATTCAAGTGAAAGAACTAGATACTTCTGAAAGGTATTCTTTATATGAGGACTCGAGGCAACACATTTTGTTAGCAATATCAGACATTGATTTTTTTTTTCCTGATTTTTTTCTACTTTTGTGCAGGTGAGGTAGGAAGGAGCAGATGTTTTGGTCTAGCAAGACAGTAATTCACTTCATTATGACTACTTGCCTTCACCTTGTTTGTGCCGTTCATTGTGAACAGAGGCCCACAATGCTGTCGATGGGGCCTGAAATGTACCATATGGAACCAGAGGGCTTTGGG